CCCCAAAACCCCAAAACCCGCATCTATCATTAATACAGTCTTAATCAATAATTTATAATTATGAAATTAATCGCAATTAAATATATTCTCAGTAATCTAAAAAATTAATCTTTTCAGAACACTAAATCTAGTGTGGTTTTAGTAGTGCATGCAATATTGATTAAGTGCTTCATTACCTTAATCGAAGGCCAATATCTTAATTAAGGAGGATTCCAAAAACTTTCATCAATCTCAATATTTGGATCTCTCACTTCTCTAAACAACTTTCTATAGAATTCTTCCTCATCCTTAGTTCTCTTAGGCCTTTATTCTTGATCACCTCCAAACAAACCAGTCAAGAAGGTGTTATTGTTTTCTCCGTTTTATTGATCTAAGTTCATTTTTGATTTCTATGTAGTTTTTTATTTCTATAGAGACTTTTGTTTCTATGCTTGCTAAAATTAACTTTTTGTATTTACTGCTTTTTAAAGATTTTGCTAAATGAGATTCTTTCCTGATCCGTTTTTATTTCGAGCTGATGAAACTGGCTGCTAACCTCCTCCTGCACCTTGTGCCTAAGAAGACTTTGAATCCGATAGATAATTCATATTGTAGTTAGTTTGAATAATTTCTCTTTACTCTATTTCACTCAACTCTTCAATAGGAGGCAAGTTTTCATACTTGAGTTTCTTTTCCTCAATTTAGACTAAGCCCTCAACTCCAAACTATAGCAACTTATGCTTTTATGCCTCATCAATATACTAATCTCTCCTCCTCAAATTTATGATGGTCTCAATTGATCTCTAGAGTTACATAATTTAAAGGATATTTGCTTACTTTTACTCTAACGAGTTATCTCTTTTTTCTCCAGTTAAAGAAGGCCGAGGCATGCTTTATTCTACACTTATTATAATATCTATTTAGAACAGCATCTCTGATTTCAGGATTGATATTTTACAACTTAGTTAACTTTACTTTGTCCTTTTTTTTCTTTATAACATCCATAAGCACTTTTTAGTGAACTTCCTCATAGTATCTTTTGAGTAGCACAATTCTAGCTTTGTTTAGATTTATAACTTGCAAGAATCTGTTTTAAATCGATATCACTAGATGTAGCAATTATGGATAAGTTAATTGAACTTACACTTTTCACAGTATTAGATAAAGGTGAATTTGATGCTAGACTTTTTGGTAAATTGCCTCATAAAGAGTAACATTTTATTTTTAGCTTCCTCCAGTACTCCATCGAATTTCCCTTAAACAGTCAAACAAAAAGTTCTAGGATAATGTATTAACATCTCTATTTGTCCTTACTATCTGATAGTATTGACCACTCTAAGCTGTCTGGTAGGTGCCATCTTTTTTAACAGTTTCTTCATATTCCTTTATACCATTCTGGCTACCCAGTTCTATCTTTACCTTATAATGTACTCAGTCTTTCTGTCATTGTATTTCTCATATATCTTTCGAATGATTTGATGTCCAGCTAGCTTTGTTATCCATTTGATTTTCCTTTGCATTTCAATGTTCAGCTTTGCCTGCTGTATTTTAAACTTTTCCTGGTTCTCTCTGAAAATGACCCACCTGTTTGCTTGCTACAATTTATACTCTCTTTGCTGTCTTTCCGCAGACTTCCTACGTTCTTCAGCTCTCTCCTTCTTGTAAGTATTATACTAGGAAAGCATATTCCTGCGCTCTTGTTGATATTAAAGCCAGACTTAGGCCAGCTCAAGATTCTTATTCAGATGCTTGTTGATATCATCTGGGTTTTCCAGCTATCCTTGAAGCTTATGCTTGATTTCCTAAAGATAGTTGAAGAACTCCTGTCTCTTTCCATAGTCATTTAGAAATAAAGCAATTTTCTTCTAAAGATCCATGTGCAGTTATTTCCTAGTTTTACCTTGAAGTTAAAAGTTATCCGGATCAAATATAGCTGATTAAATAGCTTATTATTGTCCTTAGGCTGAACTCTACTTGAAATCTTTTTTAGATCTTTACTTATTAAGCTGACCTTTTACAGAATATTCTGAGTCTATATAGATATTTAGCATAATACTATGACCTACCTGATTTAAAAGAACAGCTCATACTAATTTTGGCATAAAAGTCAGTAAATATTCCAACATATAAGTACTCATTCTTAAATAAATCCATATTTCCTAGTTGCTAGCCTTGGTAAACTATCTTATTTACCTATTCAAGAGAATTAAAAGAATAATATCTATCCTTACATTTTTGTATTTATATTAATGACTCTTAAAAGAGGGATTCTGATTCATAGTGCTGAGATAAAATTCTATTTAATTGTTTAGATTCCCTTTTTCATTATTCAGATACTTTATATTTATAATGCAGGGCGGCTGATTTCCTTTAAGCTGTACTTTGATAAATGAAGGAAAATCTGGTAGATTTTCAAAATCAAGTGTTTTCCCACTTTATAATACCAGTTTTTAATCATTGTTTTTTACAAGTCTATCAAGACATTAATAAGCTTTTTTAATTTCCATATTGGTATTCAGAATCAGATCTGTTGAATCTATACCGTTATCAACTTAAAGTATTCTAAGCATTTACTACTCCTTCCTCTTATCTGGGGATAAGAGCAATCTCTACTTCTAGGCAAAGACATCTGAGGAAAGATCATTCAGACTCTTGTGTAGATCGTTGTTATTTTCAAGCCGAGTAAAATCTGATATGCTTTTCTTGTGCTTGTTCTTGAATTATAATTAAGCTTTAATGTTATTCAAACTCATATCTGGATAAGGTTGGAAGATTGAGTTCATAGTAATTTAAGTTGGCTCATTTGGATCAGTGGTTACTGCTCTAGTTTGATGATCTGATTAGTTCGTCTAAAGAGTTGACTAATATCCTCTTTGAAATTAATTAGTTTTAGCTCTTCGAAGTTTAAAATCTTACATTTTTTATCCATGCTTTGTATTCTGATACTCATCTATTTTTTCATTTATGATACCTTTTATCCTTTTACTCAGGCTCTTGCTCTATGATGCCATATTGGCCTAAGTCATAGTCTAATTTAGTGATAAATCAGTTTATTAATTTTTCTGAGTTCTGCTTTGATATCCGCTGCCTCTAGAGACCTTGAACTAACTTAACTTGCCCTCATTCTGAATCTCAAAGCTGTTCTTTACTTTATCATGAGAACTAGTCAAGCTGGTTTTATTTTCGAATCCTCTCTAAACAATGCTTATTCCTTGAGATACCCTTGGACGTATTTAAAGGTGCTAAGTATTTTTTATGAATTTTGGGGAGTTATGAGAATCTATATACACATCATTTTAATCATAGTTCAATGAAGTATACAACGTAGAGGCAACATTATTATTTGAGGGATGTCGGTTTACCTGGTCATTTACAAAACTATTATTCATATTTTTGAGTCGATTGCTGTTTTACCTATTGACAGCCCCTCTACCTTGCTTTGATGTATCGTATGTCAATGAACAGTTCTAGGATTGCAGCTTTTGAGAATCATAGTTAGCTATAGATGATTTTTTATTTTATAATGAGCTGTGATTTCCCTGAGTTAGTTGCCTTCTTGACTTGATTTCAGCTTGCTTCGGAACGTTTAAGGTTTGCTTATTCTTTACAATATCTTAGAGATTTTGAAAGTAGGCAGAATTCGGATCTATATTCTAATAGTCGACTGCACCATAGGAATGGGATTAATTTCTTTTTCTATGCGAGAATGTTGATGATGAATTATTCATTAATTGAAATTATTAATTTTAAAACCCTATTCAATTCAAATATACTCAGACTTTTTATTTTTTCTTGATGGGGTTTTGGGGTTTTGGGGTTTTGGGG